GTTTTTTTTTTTTTTTTTTTCTCTCTCTCTCTTTGGAAGGTCAAAGTCCCTAAAAAAAGTGAGGTTATTTGCTTAGCAAGTCTTACATGGTAGAGTAAACACCCAGGTTTGCAACTAGCAATTTTCTTCCTTAGTTTTGCATCTGCAGTGACGTTTCATTTGTCGTCGACAAGAGGAGGATCTCAATCATCTTTTTTGAGATCGCAGTTTGCTTATACCCTGAGGAGTCAGATTTTTAAGGTGTTTGGGATTGATGTGGCACGTAATAGATTTTTAAGTTTGTTTGTACCCTGTTGCTCTATGTTGGAGGACATTATGATAAACTTTCCATTTCATGATCAAGGAAGAGCCTTGTGGCAGAATCGTTCTCGTGGAGAGTGGCTTCAGAGGAATAGTATAATTTTCAGAAGGATGGAGACACAAAGAAGTTTAATGCGTCTTTTGGGGAAAAATCGTCATTTTGTAATTCTCAGCTTCAGTTAATTCCTTTGGATTGAAATTCATTTTCCGGCTTTTTTATAGCATTCCTCAATGAAAACTCGGTTTCTCACCAAAAAGAGAGAAAAAAATATTAGCCCGTACAAAGCGCCAACCAAAGTACGAAACTTAATGTATCCTCGATTTAAGCATCATGATAATAAAAAAGGTCAAAGTGAATTAATAAACGAAAACAATAACTCAACCAAAAACCGCAACATTTTTTTCTCCAAACCCTAACATTCAGATCAAGACTCAATCGCGGATTAGAATCCTACGAACAGTATCTTCTGAAGAAAAAAAAAAAAGTCAAAACGGTAGAACAAAAGGAAACATAATCTCAAGCGTTTGAGCAGAATCCAAACATACAGATTATAACATGCAATAGATCTCAAATTGAGTAATCGACGAACATCTAAAAACTCGCGATGATAACGAGGACGGTGGTGGAATAAGAAAACAAAAACAAAAACAAAGAACAAGAGAAGAACGCCAAAGTTGAGATTGGCAGAACAGGAAATCTAGGATTGAAGGCTTAAGATGTTACCTACAGAAATGGAATCAAATTTTGTTGATGCCCAAAGCTGTAGAGCTTCCAATCGAGGCGCCGTCTCTGTTTCTTCTGTTCTTTTAGACGTTCATGCGTAGGTGGGAAGAAAAAGAAAGGAAAAGAAAAAGAATGGGACCCACTTTTCAAAATGGATTTTGGGCTGCTAAATTCTATTTTTATATATATATATATATATAAATTAATAAATAAGAATTTCATCCATTTTAAATGTCTAAATTTTTTATATTAATAAATTTTTTAAAATAAATAATAGTAAATATAAACACATATTTAATAACACGGTTTTAACCACAAACTCAGACTATACTCTCAACTTTTACCCAAAAAAAAAAAAAAAAAAAAAACTGTTCTCCCGACTAAAATAGTTAATATTTTGTTTCAAAAGTACCTTATAAAAAAAAATTAAAAAAATACGTTTATTATATTACGTTTCAAAAATATATTAAAAAAATAAAAATAATCTTTCAAAAATAATATTAAAAAGTTTGGAGATAATTTATGAGATTTCTATACGTTGATGAAAATAATATGGTTGACGGTATTTTGTTTTCGTGGATTATATTTATATATTATTAAAAATAATAGAGGGTAAAAATTTAGGGAAATGATATTAAATTTGTAATATTTTTTAATATTGAATGATCTTGAAGAAACGTTTTTCATCTTGAACTCAATCGTATATTCACGAACTGAAATGTGCACTTCTTTGGAAGTTCTTGAGACTCTATTGACAGTTATCCTGTTTGAATTACAAAAATTTTATGAACAGTTAGAAATCATGCTTTAATCAGACAACACGAAATCGAGATATGAACTTCTAACGTGTTTTATTAAATCCTAAACTAATTATAATGGATTTGTAACAATATTTTTAAATATATATATATATATATATATAATAAATATAATTTTCAATTTTCAACCACAAATGAAATATTCACACATTTTTTAATATTTTCACAAATATTAATTATTAAAATTTAGATTAATAAAATGACATATTTTCCAAAGTAAAATTGAAGAAAAAATTACCGAACTCGTATCTTAATCATGACTGTTTTGATCGAAAAAGCTGCTATGATTCAATTGGGTCATGATATTTAGACACGTGTTCAATTAAACTCAAGGAAATAGACTCGTTAAATGATTCGACTCCAATAAGAACTAGGCCCAAGGCCCATCCAAGCCCAAAGCGCCCACACATCCATGGTAGTTTATTAGGCCCAAGGCCCATCCAAGCCCAAAGCGCCCACACATTCATGGTCGTTTATTAGGCCCAAGGCCCATCCAAGCCCAAAGCGCCCACACATTCATGGTAGTTTATTAGGCCCAAGGCCCATCCAAGCCCAAAGCGCCCACACATTCATGGTAGTTTATTAGGCCCAAGGCCATCCAAGCCCAAAGCGCCCACACATCCATGGTAGTTTATTAGGCACAAGGCCCATCCAAGCCCAAAGCGCCCACACATCCATGGTAGTTTATTAGGCACAAGGCTCATCCAAGCCCAAAGCGCCCACACATCCATGGTAGTTTATTAGGCCCAAGGCCCATCCAAGCCCAAAGCGCCCACACTCCATGGTAGTTTATTAGGCCCAAGGCCCATCCAAGCCCAAAGCGCCCACACATCCATGGTAGTTTATACATTAAGATCTTAGAGAGAATTCATGAGATTCTAACCATTGAAGGATGGAACGTTTCTTCATGATCAAAGTTGTTCGAACATCAACAACAACACTCTTGCACTTCCAAAAGAGAATCAATATCGTATCAAACTTGCATAAACCATTTAATTCAACTCCACGGACAAATTTTCTTTGAAAAATCTCGGGTGAACAACTTTTATAATTTAAAAAAAATGATAATATCTATTTTCACCCGTTCATTAAAATAGATATAATAATAGAGCAATTATAATAATTTTAGAATTTTGATGAGGTATTCAATGTGCAAATTAAAGTTTAAGGATACAACCATATCAACATTATAATTTAGTATGCACGTGGGAGAAGTAAATGAATTGTTCCTTCCCCTCGGCTTAGATTACTTTCTTAGAAGTCGAGAATTGGTCATGTTTCCAAGTCGATCAAAAGTTCGACTCATTATCTGACTTTAAAAACAACAAAAGTAGACAGGAGAAGATCATATAGAACGGTACCCGATGGCTATCATTTAGGATATTAAAAAAAAATTAAAAATTTTGTAACATTTAGAAATATCCAAAAAAATAACGGAAATACCTGTAAATATGATTTGATTTGGGCACCCCCATGTGGATGAGGCGCCCGTAACAGAAACCGACAAAGGAGCTTCTTAGGAACCATAAGAACATTTGTTTTCTTAAACCATAAGTAATTTTAAAATAATATTAAATAAATCAAAGACGTGTTTTTAGCTTTTTGAGAGGTCGGTGACAGAAAAATCGACACCGCCATGTCATTTTAACAGCTTTTTTCTTTTAATTATTATTTTTATTTCTTTCCAGAGGGTTTCACTTGGAATTCAACGTCCATAAAAACAAATAATTTAAATTTTAAAAAAAATGGGTTAATAACTCAAAAGGCAAGAGAAAAAAGGGAGTCCCGTAAATTCCACGCTGGCAAGTGGCTGTATTGTTAAAGTGCCACGTGTGCATTTTTGTTTGGACATAAAAAAATATTAAAAAGAATTATAGCTAAACAACTACTTTAGTACAAATGATTTATTTTTATTGCTCATTCCTATAAAAAAAATTATAATTTAAAATTATAATTTAAATTAGTTGATGTTATTTTCTAACCGTTAAATCGAAAACAAAATTGTTAATTTTAAAATATATATATAGAATTCCGAATGAATCAAATCTCTCCAAGTAGGATTCGTAGGATTCGAACCTACGACCAATCAATTAACAGCCAGACCGTAGAATTTAAAATTTCAAAATATATATTAAAATTAAATCACAAATATTAATTAAATATTTAAAAATAACTAGCATTTAATTTTTATTAAAAACAAATATTCTAATAAATGACTCAAACAAGTTGAACTAATCATTACCGGAAGAGTAGTAGAAAGTTGCTAGAGTAAAAAATAAAAATAAAATAAAATACTACCGAAAAATTGAGTTTAACCTAAAAAAAATATCATAACCCACCTAATAAAACCCACCAATATCCCTAACATAATCACGTTCAAAGAAAGCGTATCATATATTTCAAATAAGTAATAAAAATTATCGATTTTTAAATAGTGCCAACAATATATTCGGAGATTTAAACAAAAACTATAAATATTCTACACACGAACAATAAAGAGATAGGTATTACTTTTTTGAGGTTGAAAATTAGATATCTTACCTAACATTTATCAAAATTAAAGAAAAAAAAGTATATAAAGATTGAATTAAAACGAAATAAATATAAATAAATAAAACCTTGGTTAAAAATTATTTCCTTAAGTGAGAATAATTTGGGCCAGAGAGGACAGATCTTAAATTGATTTTATTTTAATTATTGTTATTTAAAAAACACGTTATTGTAGCGAAGTTTCCTCTCCTCCATGATCTCATATTTAGTAAGAGAGATGATTGCTTTCTACATTCCATTTTCATTCAACTTTCGTCTCTCTCTCTCTCTCTCTCTTTCTGATTCTCTCCCATCTCTCTCCACAGGGGTCTCTGTTCTTCCATTGTTTTCTGCTCCATCAAAGGGTTTCCAGCCAATTCCATGTCTTCTCTCTTCCCCTAGAGAGAGAATGACAATCAAACCCAAAGAACACAACAGAGCAGAACAGAACAGAACAGAACAGAACAGAACAGTAAAAACTCGGGGGAGGTTCGAGGATTAGAGAGAGAAGCCAATTTAGGATAGGAAAATCCCTCAGAAACCATCGACAATGTTGCAGAGAGCTGCAAGCAATGCTTATTCATGGTGGTGGGCAAGCCACATCAGAACCAAGCAGTCAAAATGGATGGAGCAAAATCTTATAGGTTCATCCCACTCCCTTCTCTTTTACCTTTTCTTTCTAAAACATCAATCAGAACTTGAATGTTTTTGGGTTGGAAACTTGAATGTTCATCTGGGGTTTCTTGTTTTTCTCTGTGATTTCATTTCCAATATGAATTGTATGGTTTTCTTCTCTTGGGTAAGATCGAGGTGGGGGTGTTCTAAGATCTTTGTTCTGAAACCTTGCTAAATAAGATCACAAGATCAATACCCAGATCGATTCTAGTTTGGGTAATAGAAATCATGGAGGAATGAGAGTTTCTGGAAATTGCAGATATGGAGGAAAAGGTCCAATATGCTCTGAAGCTGATAGAAGAAGATGGAGATTCATTTGCGAGGAGAGCTGAAATGTATTATAAAAAGAGACCAGAGCTGATAAACTTTGTGGAGGAATCTTACAGAGCTTATAGAGCATTGGCTGAGCGCTACGATCACATTTCGACTGAGCTGCAGAACGCAAACAACACGATCGCTTCGGTTTTTCCGGAGCAAGTTCAGTTTTCAATGGATGAGGAAGATGAAGAAGCCATGCCTAAGTTCCCTAAGAAGCAACCTGCTATGTCCAGAGGAAACATCCCACAAGTCCCCAAGGATCCGGTTGATATGAAGACTGTCATAACAACAGCGACCAAGAAGTTGAAGTCGAAAAAGAATGCGAAACAGGGAACTGCAGCTTCGTCAGTTGCCAAATCTGGTTTGAGCAAACAAGAGGCACTTAATGAGATTGACAAACTGCAGAAACAGATTTTGACACTTCAAACTGAGAAGGAATTCGTGAAGAGCTCTTATGAAGGCTCGCTTGCAAGGTATTGGGAGATTGAGAATCAGATCAAAGAGATGCAAGACAGAGTTTTCAACTTACAAGATGAGTATGGTGAAGGAATGCTGATTGAGGACAACGAGGCCCGTACTTTGATGGCGAATGCGGCTTTAAAGTCCTGCCAAGAATCATTGGCTCAGCTGCATGAGAAACAGGAGAGATCAGCTGAGGAAGCAAGAATAGAGTCTACAAGAGTTAGAGAAGCGAGAGAGAGATTGGATTCTCTCAAAGGTGGGCTTCAAGGTGAAGAATCGAGCCAGGATAAGTCGCTTGCGAAGAACGAACCTGCACGGCAAAGAGAAGTACCTGACCAATTGAATAAAGAAGTTGACAGTGCAGCAGAAGAGAAAAAGAGAGCAGAGGAATTACGCCAACAAATCAAGGAGGAGTTGGAGGCCAGTACATGTCTTACCATAACAGAAATGGCAGAGAAGATTGATGAGCTTGTAGACAAGGTGATCAGCTTAGAAATCGCGTTGTCTTCGCAGACCGCACTCATCAAGGAGTTAAGATCAGAAACCGATGAACTCCAAACACACATACAAATCTTGGAAGACGACAAGGCATCAATAATTGATGGAAAGAACAATTTGCAACAGAAGCTAAAAGAAATGGAGGAAAAACTGGGTGGGATTCAGAATCTGAACAAAAAGATTGAGAATGAGAAAAGCAATTTCCAATCTCAAATTATTGAGGTACATTGTAATCTAGATCATCTTTCTGTTAAATTGCCTACCATACAGCAAGATGAGGAGCTTGAGCCAAAATCTTCAATAAGCACGGTGCAGCTCGAACAGCCAGAGGAACTCCCTGGTGTCAAGCAAGGTGTAATTGGAGCACATACAGAACTCAAACAGCCAGAGGAACTCCCTGGTGTAAAGCAAGGTGCACTTGGAGCACATACAGAACTCAAACAGCCAGAGGAACTCCCTGGTGTAAAGCAAGGTGCACTTGGAGCACATACAGAACTCAAACAGCCAGAGGAACTCCCTGGGATAAAGCAAGGTGCACTTGGAGCACATACAGAACTCAAACAGCCAGAGGAACTCCCTGGCGTAAAGCAAGGTGCACTTGGAGCACATACAGAACTCAAACAGCCAGAGGAACTCCCTGGCGTAAAGCAAGGTGCACTTGGAGCACATACAGAACTCAAACAGCCAGAGGAACTCCCTGGCGTAAAGCAAGGTGCACTTGGAGCACATACAGAACTCAAACAGCCAGAGGAACTCCCTGGCGTAAAGCAAGGTGCACTTGGAGCACATACAGAACTCAAACAGCCAGAGGAACCCCCTGTTGTAAAGCAAGGTGCACTTGGAGCACATACAGAACTCAAACAGCCAGAGGAACTCCCTGGTGTAAAGCAAGGTGCACTTGGAGCATATACAGAACTCAAACAGCCAGAGGAACTCCCTGGTGTAAAGCAAGATGCAATTGGAGCAGATACAGAACTCAAACAGCCAGACGAACTTCATGGTGTAACGCAAGGTACAAGTGGAGCACGTATAGAGCTCAAACAACTAGAGGAAGTTCCTGGTTTAAACCAAGATGCAAATGGAGCACATACAGAGCTCAACCAGCCCGACAAAAAGTTGAAAGCTCATGAGGGTTCTGATGATCCAAACCAAATGGGATCAGATGAAGCATGTCAGCCAACGGATTTGAGGCAAAACAAAGAACCAGACATTCAAATGAAATCATCAAATATGCAAACCCCTAAAGAAGAGGAATCACAGAGTTTCGAAGGTAAATCTGAGAAAGCTGATGCAAGTGGTAAGCTCATAAATCAAGAGAAGGATGATCCAACCCAGGTGGATCCTCCAAATTTAGAAAGCAGTTCTAAGAAACTTGATGTTGATGCCACTTCTAGAAGTCTAGTAGAAGTTGCTGATACTAGGGATAAATCACAGAGTTCAAAAGGTAGTAACGAGCAATCCAATGCAGATGCTGCTTCCAAAAGTCGAGAGGTAATTGTTCAAACCTTGTCACTAAGTACTGAAGGCAAACCCGATAACAATGATACTTATGGTTCTGCAAGAAATCCTGAAATGGTTGCTCAGACCGAGGCTAACTTACAGTATTCAGAGCGTGGTTGTGAGGAAGCTGATGTGAATGTCACTTCTAGAGGTCAAGTAGAAATTGTTCAAACCCAGGATACTTCACAGAGTTCAGAAGGTAGTTGCGAGAAATCTTATCCAGAAAACACTACCAAGAGCCAGAATGGAACCGTTCTAGCCTTGTCAGTGTATACTGAGGATAATCCCCAGAAAAATGACGGTGATGGTTCTGTTGGAAATCCAGTAGAAGTGGTTCAAACCAAGGCCAAGTATTCAGAAGGTGATGGAAATGGTACTCCGACAAGTCAAGTTGGAGAAATCCACAAACAGGAAAATCTAGGACACCCTTCAGAGAAAACAGAGGATGCGATGAAAGAGCAAAACAAAGAAGAGAAGACTTTTCCAGAGGCAGTTCGCACAGAGCAAGAAGAGAAAGTAGTGGATAAAGTAGATGAGCCAAATTGGCAGCAGTTGTTCATGAGTGGAATAGAAGGCAAAGAAAAAGCCCTCTTAACAGAGTACACTACAACTCTTCGAAATTTCAAGGATGCCAAGAAGAAGCTCAGTGAAATGGATGAAAAACATCGTGATCACCATCTTCAAACATCAAAGCAGCTACATGAGTTAAAAACTTCAAATGCATTGAAGGATCAAGAAATCAGATCCTTGCACCATAAATTGAATCTTCTGCAGAAATGTTTCTATGAAAGCAAGGAATCAATGGATCTAAGCACACAATCGTTAGATTTTAGTGCTTCAGACAACCAGGAAACCTCAAGCACATCGGATGATCAAAATGTCAAACCCATGATAACAGGGGGCGACCCAGCTCGGTCCAAAGTACTGACACGTGAAATCTCCCATGAATCAGGATTAGACTTCAGCAAACTTCTAGTTCAAGAACCAGCCACTACATCAGAGATTGAAGAAAGACTCCGGATGAAGATTGACGAACTTTTGGAAGAGAACTTAGATTTCTGGTTGAACTTCAGCGCTTCTTTCCATCAAATACAGAAATTTGAAACTAGGATACAGGATTTAAAATTGGAAGTAGCAAAACTTCATGAAAAAGGAAAGAAGATGGATGAGAGTGGCATTGGAAAGTACTCCTTGAAATCAGAAGCACGGCCATTGTACAAACACCTGAGGGAGATACAGACTGAACTTACCGTCTGGTCAGATAAAAGTGCAGCATTGAAGGAGGAGCTGCAGACAAGATTTTCATCATTGTGCAACATCCAAGAAGAAATAACAGCAGGATTGAAGGCGAGTGCCGAGGAAGACGATTTCTCATTCACAAGCTATCAAGCTGCAAAGTTTCAAGGGGAGGTTTTGAATATGAAACAAGAGAATAATAAAGTTGCTGATGAATTGCAAGCAGCTTTAGATCACATAGCAACTCTTCAACATAAGGTAGAGACCAACCTGTCAAAGTTGGACGAGGAGTTCAAACTTTCTGGGTCAAAGGCACAGGAAACTCCACAGCTGAGACACTCAGAGAGCCGAAACAGAATTCCTCTACGGTCATTCATATTCGGCGTCAAACAGAAGAAGCAAAAGCAATCAATCTTCTCTGGGATGGCACCTGTAATGCAAAAGAAGTATCATGCTTTGAGAACAGGAACTCCTCTGTAAATTATATGAGCCTACCTTAATTTCTTTGTGTTGGAATCTTGGAATGCTGTTTAGTCCTACTTTTCAGATTCTTTTGGTCTGTATTATTTGGCAGAAGTGAGATTTTCGTAGACATTTGTGAGCTATTTTGGAAAAAACATATGCCTTTAATTCTGTGCTACATATCAGTTGTGAATGATGGGAGAAGTTTTATTATTTCAATTTGGAATCTTGGTAAATCGGTTATCAAATCTTTAAGGAACAGCACCACTCAAACTCAAATTCTAGAGACTGGTAAATCAAGACACTGGTGGTTCACACTATAAGAATTGCAGAAGATATACCTGCAAATGGCGATTGGTTCTTCACACAATTAGAGGCTCCTCTATTTCCAACTAATGTTAGAGGCAAGGCTCTGATTTTGTTCCTTCTGCGATGCTAATTTCCATTGACCGTTAAAAGAATAATAACACATACAAACACCATTTTCAAATCTCAACGCCAAGTGATTCATATTTTGATCTATGTTTTAAACAATAATCTAAAAGCTCTAAGCAGGCTAAAATGTGGTGGAAGGGAAAAGTTCAGTTGTAGAGTTTACAAAGATCACCAACCCTGCATTTTGTTCAGTAATTTATATAAAGACAAAATTAGCAGTTCATTTGCCTTTGTCACCATCTCTCGGAAGCTTTATACCCATGAGTCCAAGAAGGTTAGATGCAGGACCAGGCAGTCCTTCTTGTGATGAAAAGGAATCAAGAAAGCTCTTTACAAGGTTCACGTCCACATCAACAGGGGTGAAATCCTCCTCCATATGGTCAGTGGTATGTGATGTTCCCTACAATTTTTTTTAAGACGAAAATGTGAGACGTACACAAATAATAAACCAAGACATCACAAATTATAATCAAATTGTAAATAAAAGACATTTGCCACCCAACAGCATATCGTTGATCATACAGCCCCACATACGATTGTGTCATGACAAAAGAAAAACAAGCTCTTCTCATTAAACAGTTTCATTGTGTTATCAATTGAGAGGGTGAAACAAAAATCTAAAAAGAAGAAAGAATAGCTATTCATAGGGCCATTCTTAGAAAGGTCAGAGTTAAGAAGAGTCCCAGATGAATGGAAGTCAGAAAAAACAAGGAATTTGCAGCATCATGCACAAAGAAGAAAGAAAAGTACCTCATCTTTCTGGGAAGCTTCTCCACTAGCACGATAAAAACTTTTCTGGAGAGTACTACTCTTCAATTCTTCACCCAAAGCATCTGAATAAGATTCCATGAACATATTCTCTCCATCTACATTATTAGTATCTGCGGCACCATCACTCTCATCATCTTGAGATTCATCTGAAAAGCAAACAACAATGGCAACTTAATGATTTGAGGAATCCATCAGAACCTCTTTTCTAATCAGAAATAATTTGACTGAAGACATCAAAAATTCTGCTCGGCATGAAAAACAGGGTTAAGGAATTCCTCAGCAGCAAGACTGCAAGGCATGGTAGAAAAACTTGCAATCCAGTTAGGGATATTGAAATATTTTAAAATAGTCCGAATCATAAACTTCATGAAAACCCTTTAAACAAAATCCAGTGTTAAATAAAAGAATGCACAAAAGTAAATATAGACAGTGTTAAATGGTAGAGCTACCTAGGAAATAAATTAAAATAAAATCAAACAAAAGCATGGAGGGTTCTTCCAGGTTATAGCATTTTGACTTATGAACTGAAAGATAATAAACCCGGCCAAAACTTAATAATGTTTGTGAAAGGTAGAATTTCATTTACCAAAATCCAAATCAGAAGAGGATTCATCTTCATTTTCAACATCAGTAGAAGTCTCCATGGATGCGTGATGGCTCATCACTGATTCCATCTCTTTGATAAAGCGATCTACATCGATGTTCACATCTTCTGGCTCCCTTTAAACATAAAGGGTTGTATTATATTTTAATAGATCAACATATGGATATGAGATTATCAAACTTGTAGCATTCCCAAATATAGAATTAAACTTGTGCCATTGTGCGTGATGTTATGAAAGGAAAATCACAAAATAAAAAGAACAACCATAACCAGTGGCTTTGCAGTTATTATGTGAAAACTATTAGTTTGATTCCTTTATATGTAGCTTACCTGTTATCGGACACCTCTACTCCCTGAAAGCTTGATAATTTTTTGACGAATTTCTGCATGGATTTTGATATATCACCTAGATCAGGCTCGTCCATACTATAGCTGGATGATGGATCAACTTGCTCCTTTTTAGATTTCTGCTTCTCGTTAAATTCAGAATTAGAAATTTCCATTTCCTTCTGTCTCTCTAAGAGGGCTGCATTCAATTCATCATCCCCATTATAAAGCCAAGAATCATCATCAGAAGGAGGAACATCCGGACCCTTGAAATCTTCCACTGAATAAGGAGAAGCAAGGATCTCATCTATGCGTCTTACTGGAGCACTCATCGTGTTACTGCAACATATAGGAACTTCTCAGTGTGTACTATAAAAACAAACAACTCAGGAAAACTTTACTAGACAAAGATAGAAACAATCGTCATGTTCCGGAATTCATGTGATTAATCTGAAGAACTACAATTATAAATCAAATGCAGTCATTGTTGGGCTGTTATTCAATCCCAATTTAATATGGAATCATGAATGCTAGGACTTCAAAATTCCAATTTCAAATGACATAACACAAGGGTTGTACTACAGACGAACTAAGTTAACAGGGTTAGTCTGCTGAATCTATATAATAAAAGCTTCAATATGGGAAATTTCAACAGTGAGAAAAGTATAAGTACCTAGTTCTTGAAAAGAGTTCACTATTCTTGTAATATTCCTCCGCATTCTTCATCAACCTCCCATGCTCCTTTGAACCCGGAAGTAAACCTTGGAAGTATCCGCTACTTTCTAGACTCTCCTTAAACGCCTCCCATGTCTGGCTTTTCCCTTCAGACCCTTCTTGTCTTCTTAGTTGATATATCATCTCAAATCCGCATGCTATCTTCATTCCCAATTCAGCTTCCGTGTGTATTGAAGCATTGGTCCTATTGGGCATCGGATAACATTTGGGCGCCTGAAAATTCTGCTGCATCAACTGTGCAAACATGGCCTTCGACATCTTAACGGACACGCATACCAATTCTTCTTCTCTTCCTCTTCCCAAAAACTTCTCCATTTTTGCGGCGAATTTCATGGTGTCTATGTCACGATCGTAAAACCCCTCAACTGCCAGCGAAATCAAGCAGGGTTCATGTTTCAACACCTGAGCAACTGATACAGGAACCCTAACCCTAGCTTTGTGCATGTTCATCTCGCCTCGCCGGGGATAATCCGAAATCTTTTTCTTCACAGCCAGCTGAACCGACTCAGACGCCCTAGATTCCTGATCAAAGTCCACCAAGAACTTAAGCGAATCAAACAAATTAGGATCCGGTAACCGGTGTTTTGGTACAATATGGAGGCTACCATTGCGGATAAAGACACGATTGAGACTATTCTCAGGGTTAATCCATCTAGGGATATGGAATGCTGCCTCGATAAGCAGAAATTCACCGTCCGTGTCCCAAACTCGGATTGAAAGAGAAGTAAAACATTTGGAAATGTGAAAAAGAAGAAACACAGTGAACCATTCGTCTTCAAGGTTGTCGCCGAAGCGAAGCTTCCCGTGAAGGTGTGGAAGGTGGGTGGAACAGACGCAGGGGGATTTGAGGATGGAAGAAGGTGAGAGAGAAAAGGCTTCATGCTGCCATATGTAGTTGGAGGTGAATGAAGAGATGGAGTTTATGATTTGAAGGTGAAGGGATTGGAGGATGGAGGCTACCTCGGCGGCATTGCCGGAGCTCAGAGAGGCGTCGGGAAATATGGCGTAGAAAACGGTATCATCAGGGAGCCTGGAGCTGCTCTGATTGAAAATGGATGAAGAACAAAAAGGGCCCGTCGCCATTGAAATCTCTCTGAACTTCGCGAACTTCGCAGCTGCTTCTGAAACATTCAAATATGGTTTCCGAGACGCTAAATTGGATATTTATTTATTTATTTTTAATTCTTTTTTCTTATTTTTTTATTAAATTTCTATAAATAAAAAAATTAAAATTAATATGTGCAGCAATTAATTTTTTAAAATTTTGACTTTATTTATATACAAAATTCAAAATATTAAATATAAAATTGAAGTAAATATAAGCACTAACACAAATTTTAAAATTTATAAAATAAAATTTTGATATTGAACCAAATACACTCATTTTAAAATTTATGAAATAAAATTATAATTAAATATTACTTGAAAAATTCATGAATATTTTTTAATCGAGATTTTTTATAATTTAGTTTTAGTTTAATATTAGTGCATCGTTAATATCTTTGTGACATATTATTCATTATGAATGTGTAATTGACGGATTTTGTTTCGTTTCGGAAGAGAGAGAGACAAATTTCTAATGATTGATAGCTCTCTTCTTTTAAAGCTTATGCCGTATCAGGCTATTGGCGTTTTATCTGCATCTTCCTGACCAAGACCTAGAAAGAAGGGGTTCGCTTTGTTTAGGATTTCATAGCACATGAAAAAGCGAAGCTCGAGACAAAAGATCTTCTTTCTAACTAAAGAGAGAGGTTCGATTCATAGACCTTGTCTCCACATTGGATCAAGAACAGGATCAGAGGGATCAAAAATATGGGCAAACTTCGGTTAAAACGATGCCGAAGAAAGCCATTCTTTTAGCCTTCATGGGCTAGTGGTAAATTAAAAAAAAAAAATAATAATATAACAGTAATTCAAAATTATTGACTTAATATAGACAATTTTCTCAAAAACTCAGTTGTTTTTTCACCGATCGAAGGTTGAAGAGCAAGAACCAATTCCCAAGGTCGGAAACGTAAGAGAATTATGGTTCCCGCTTCTTCTGTACTAGCTACCCACATTTTATGTCCTTTTGTGAGGTCCAACTTCTTGCACATGTTACCAACTTACTCGTAATACCTCCACTGCAAAACAGTAACAAAAAAACGAATGATAGAAATTTAGATCAATAAAAATGCAATGAGAGATCGAAAAAAACATAGGAAAAGAGGAGAGAGAAAGGAGACATAATGTTTTAGAGGGAGACGACAGTAAAGCAAAAGGTTTGTGTAGCATAGATGAGAGAGCGAAATGGTGATAAATGTAACAACATGAAGTAAGGTGAAAGAACGTGGTGACACTGATTTCA